ATGGCAACAATGAAAAGCTCAGCAGGGAAAGTGAAGCCTTGTGTGTGCTCAGCAGAGTTTATTAAAACTGCAAAAAGGCTGAGTAGCCACAGATGCTGCTGTCAATAAATAACCAATTCACCCACCCATGCAAATGCACGCCCACATACAAAACACACACCAATGCCACACCCCATGGCATACCGCCGGGTGTGAAACGCACTACACACACAGTTACAGAAGGAGGGGTAGTAAAAACAGATGGTAAGTGTGTGGATGGATGTGTGATGTTGTGGAGAAGTGCTCCGGGGGCGTTAGGATTCCGTTAGTGTGTCAACCTCTAACGTCCATCAACACCTCGAGAAGCTGTTAAGACGCACAGATCCAACAGTCTCCACTGAGGAGTATTAGCTGCAACTTAACTCCACCAGGAAGTGTTAAATCATTGGTTTCAGTGCAAATAAAGGCAGCATCTGCTAAATGAAATAGCATATTGACGCAATTTAGATTAAGTAATTGAGACCGCAAGAAAGTGGAGGAAGGTTAAGATGGATAAAAGCCTTTTCTTATTGTATCTAGTGTCCAATATCACATGCAACACTTTAATAGCACTTGCTCTCAAGTTGCCATTCAGAAATCTGACTTTCCAAAAGAAACATCAGGATGACTCGACAGTACAGGCAGAGGAACGTCCTCACGTGGCTGCATCTTGGTGCTAATGGGACAAAATGTGACTGCCACCAAAGGTCAGGTTATGGCGACAGCTGCCTTCATGTATGAAGTGCCAATCCCACAATGTACAATATTTACTAATGGTAAAATAGCTACACCAGAGTCTGACAGCTGAAGTTTGAGAATCCTTCTCAAAGTGTATCTGTTCATATTAAAAATGGAATTGTACGCAAAAGAAAGACTATAACAAAGCATTTGGTAGTTCAATCAACCTTTAGTTCATCCATAGTAAAAGTGTAGAACTGATTAATAACAGATTTCAGTTTCAGATCAAGTAAAATAGCTTGTGCCATCTTCATAAACCATGCTGCTTTTCAGTTTGACACTATTCAAATATGAATGACAGAAAATGTAAAAGAGAAGTTCCTTTGGAGTACAGATAGATATAATTATACTTAAAATGTTTATTGGGATCTATTTTGTTATTTTGTTTGCATAAAAAAAAGTGAGTGTAATGTTGCTGTGAAGACAAAAAACAAGCACCATGGACACGTTTTCTGTAAAAGCACTTTGCAACTGTCTGTTTGTGTTTTATTACCCTGAAGAGACTATTTGCTTAAGTACTCTGTAGCATTCCAAGTAGTCTTTTAAATCAAGATGAACCTTTCTAAATTATAAGAAGGCAGCTTCAGCTCACCACATTCTCCACATCATCACAAGCTGAAGTCTGGAGGCATGCTGCATTTATTTCACCAAAAATACATGAAAGGCCCATTTATAGCAAAATTACAGTTTTGACTCGGTGTGATCCAGATGTGACATGTGTGACATCTGGATTGTGTAATGGACACTAATCAACACATACATGTTCATCCCCTGCCACGCAATTGGAAATGAACTTCCGCTATTCCAAATGTAAATAAACTAATGACTTTTAACCACAAGACAAATCCTACTAATTTGAAAGATAACTTGAAACCATACCACCTCAGAGCAGCTTCCTGCCTTTAATCCCCCTGCATACAAACACAAGCAGACCACTCTGTTTGAGTATGCAGAGGGGCAGGGCTCTGATTTCAAACAGCAGTGGAGGCAGGTCAAAGGGGGCAGCCTTTATGATGATCCGGGAGCGAACCCCTGACAGGGGCTCAAGGGCTCCTGCCATCAGAGCCACGACCCCCAGGCCACAAACAGCAAGCCACAGGCTGACATCAAACAACACTTTGCCCCAGAGAAAGCACGGCAGCGCTGCTATGCCCTGATCCACCAGTCCACAGAAACAGGGGCCCACAGAGAAAGCCAACATACCCACAACCTTCCCTTAGCCTGCTATAAATGACTTGAATTGACTGCAACCGACATGCACCATAAAGCACAAACAAATTCCACCGTCTTAACCCAATCTTCTTAATGTTGTTGTTTTCCCAAAACAAGCTGTGCCTTGATGTAGATGCTGATTTAGGCAAGACAAAATTAAATCCCCCTGCTAGAGAGCTCCTTCAATAAAAAAGATAATTTCCTCGAATTGCCAAAATTACATATCCATTTAACTTTATCTGTGGGAGGAAAAAAGGCAGTTTGGATGTACTTAAGAAGTAAATGTCCACTGATGACAAGTCCAGCCTGAGAAGAGTAGTGTCATCGTAGGGATGCACGGTCACCATAGTAAACTACATTAAATACCTCTCATCTACTGACCTGAATAACAATTCCACTCAGCACACTGTTGCTGCTTTGTTAAATATATACACATAAAAATGATGAATCTAAAAAAAAGAGGAAAATGATGGTTAAAATCTGCGTAACTGCTGGATAACTGGATAATGGCAGACAGCCACAGATCAAAGAGGTTATGTAAGAACAGCATAAAACCGGCCGCCAGTTATTTGATGAAATATTGTGAGAATTAAAAACAAATGTTCCGACTGTGAGACGGAGAAGATGCAAGCCAAAGGATCAAACATGAGCTCCGGCTGCTTGTTGTTCTACTTCTTGAGTAATCAATGCCTGCTCACCAGAATCTGCCTCTGGCTATCAGCTACACTGCAGATGTGAACCGGCTCATTATCACTGCAAACTCTTACCTCATAAGACGCTTTACAGCTGCAAATCAGGAGCTGCTCTAAGTCATGATACTTAATGTTGTCTGAATGCATTTTCTTCCACTGATAACTATTCATATTCTAACAAGCCTGGCAGCCATTTTTCCAGAATAATCAGAGTCTGCATCTGCAGGAGTCATCTGACCTACTAAAGACTCTCATTACCATGCTTGACAACAAGCGTAAAGTTAGTAGAGATGATACAGTAGGTCTGAATATGCTGCGTGTGAAAATATGTAACATGAGGTCTCTTAATGGTTCATTTCAGTGAGTTGAGTTTGTATAAATACAGAAAAAGGTTAATAGGTTTTGAATTAGGGCTGCAACTAAAACAATGTTCATTACTGATTAATCATCAGATTATTTTCTAGATTCATCAATTCATTATTTGGTCTACTCTATATAATGTCAGAGGCTATAGTGATGTGTTCAAATGTCTTGATCTCTTGAACCCAAAGATATTCAGATTACTATATATAAAATACAGAAAAGCAGAAACATATTTATTTAAGAAGTTGAAAACACAATTTTCTGACATTGTTGCCATATCAACAACAATAACTTAAATGATTAAGAGATACAAAAAACGATGATGATTGGATGCCGATCGATGTATTGTTGTAGCTCTTTTGTCAATGCTTATTGCAACACATAGGATGATCCTTACACAACCACAAAAATGTCTAAAGCCAAAATAATTAATTGAATGATTGGAAATAAACCAACTCGCAAATGTAATACCCGCAAGCTATTTGCAATGCAAACGGATCAAGCTACAGTACATTATGCAAATAGCTACCTGTGAGAATATTTACAATGCACGACAAGACCCTGCGCATTACCCTCGGAATTCAATTCTGCCTTTCTTTCAAAACAATACACCTCAGTAGGGTTTTCTGAGTCTCCAGTGGACCTGTCTAGCAACAGCTATTCTCAGAAGGATCAGGTTGTTGTTATTACCCCGCTGGGTTCTGTAAATGGGAGGCTTCGTCATCTCTTGTTCAGCATCCCCCTATGACTCTGCATCATCTTCTATCATTGGCTGAAACCCCTTAGTCATGCTCACAGGGGGGAGGAAGGGTACTGAACATTCCTCAAAAATGAGAGCTTGTGCTCAACCACATGCAATTTTGTAATTCCTCAAGAAGCACTGGTGCCTTCTCTTTCCTACCCCCGACCCCCGCTAACCTTCCCCCTTCCTTTGGATTTAAGGCTGTGTACGGGGACGTGAATAGGTGGTATTTCAGCATGCTAACAGGCACTGAAGAACAGAGCTTGTTGGCTGGGGGCCAAGTCCCCATGGTTACCCTGAAGCAGCGACTGCTTCTTTCCTGAGCTGGGCTATCTTGGAATAAACTAACTCTGCTCTGCATGCATGGGGGGTTTAAAGGAGGCAAGATATAGGTCCCTAGGGCATCTTCCATCATACAAACATTGCAGTTTTATGCTTGGGAGTCTGGCTGATGACTTTGAATGGAAAACACAACAGAGTGCATAGAATAGTAATAAATGACCAATCCCAAACAACCAGTTCTTCTGATGTGGCCCCTGAGCAACAATCTTTAAAGACAGGTCCTAACGTGTGCTCTTCCTGTGTGTGGGTGCATAATCATGCTATAATACCGTGGGAACATATCAGTAAAGATCCTCACACCAACTCTGATAGTAACAGGTTGTTAAACACGTCATCATAATAAAATGCACTAGACCAAGAAGTAGTAGTAAAGGGTGTCTCAGAAGATTAAGATTGAAACATGATTGCACAAACAACCTGAACATAACAGATCACTTGATAGGTTATATCTGTGGAAGATAAGGATCTGTTCTGTGGGCCAATGGTGAATCTGCTGAGCACTTTCATTGTTTTTTCACATGGAAAGCTGCCAAACAAAAGGATTAAAAGCCACTTCTGAATGCAATTACCAGTCTTTTTATTTTGCTAATGAAGTTCACACTGCTGGCATACATGGTAGGTTATACCAGGCCTGTAAGATTTGGATACAAAACTAAGTTATGTGAAGATTAAATGTTCTGGTTAGACATGTGATAGTTTGCCATGCAGAAAACAGCAATGGGTCTTATTTGAAACTTTTAGAATGTAACAGACCACATTACTAGCTGTAATACTATGGGCTGTATGAAATAGGCTGTGGCTCTTATGCAGGTAGTGGTGAACTAACGTTAGCCTGCTCCCAAAATCAGTCTTCCAGTGGCTCCGACCATTTCCCAGCCAAAACACCCACTTACCTTTGACTTGACTCTCGTAATCCGCGATGATTTCTTTATCCTTTTTGAACCTCTGCGAAGACATTTTCTGTCTTCTTTTCTCCGAAGCTTGTTGTAAACTTATTGTAAGAAAAAAAACTGTTTGTCAACAAGCGGAATCCTACAGCAGCCGACGCATCCCACACAGGTCGAGAAAAATGAACGCGGGTGGGAGAAAAGAGGCGCGATACAAAATTACACTGGAAAATATTTAAGTTTGCGACAAGCTCGACCTAAAGCAGCAAGAAGAAAACGCTTAGTTCTTCATTGTTCCTTTTCCCCCTGGATATACAGCGGTGTAAATGCGCAATGCTGCTCCAACCAATGATTCCCCTCAAGTAACAGAGCAGTCGGCGGATCAACAGCACTGCTGCTACCACAGAAGAAGAAAAAACAATCACGCAAGTTTCTCCGTTGCGGCTTTTCACAGCTCTAGGTAAAGTAGTGCCAACAATCCGTCCGGAGGGCTTTAAAGTCGGTCTGAACCGTGAGCGTGTGTGCTTTTTGGTAGTGCTTTTCCAGTTTTGGGACCCACACACACACTTCCCCCCTTGCTCGCTCTCCCTCGACGGTTTCTCCCCCCAGCTCCCAGCAGGCTCAGAGGCAGACAAGGCAGGCCGACTGCAGCACTCCGCAGCTGGAGCCAGGCAGCGACAGGAGGGAGGGACATGCTCACAGACAGCTAGTGGACACCGGCGGACTCACAGCCCTGCTCGCGGAGTTGAAGGCTGTTTTTAATTTGACCAGATTAGTCAGCAGAAAATGACATTCAGTGTAACGAATGGCTTGTAATTAGTAGGTTAATTGCTTTTTCTACTTATCGTTTTTAATAAAATAACACACGTTTCATTTCTTAACAATTAGCCATGCATTTTCCCTAAATTCACATTCATAGAAATGTTTAATTTGAACAAAATGTAAATGCTACTTTGCACCCATGCACTTTCTGCTAACATTTAGGACAGAAGCACTTTATCCTATTTAACCCTAAAAATATACATCCTCCTTACTAAGGATTTGTATTTGGTTTGTATTTTTCCATTTTTGTGTTGTTTCTGTGCTCAGCTGTCAAATGTAATCTAGTGAGACTTTAAAGAGGAACAGAACTGAACTCATAACGTAAAGGAATTCAAATGACCTTTACCCCATTAATTTACTCTTACAACTAACAATTTATGTTCTTAGATTGTTTATGGTTACACCACCATTACCTTGTATGTGTAAACGTACCTGGCAATAAACAAATCCAAAATAAGATCCCATACAGACTTTTTTTTTTTTTTTAGCTATTTGTAGGCTCACAGCTGCAGTGCATATTTCCAACTACACCCATGCACTCATAGAGGAGTTATCTACAGTAATTTATGGTGGTAATAAGTTATTCATTAAATATTCAAAAAACTAAACAACAATCAATGCTTGCTAATATATACTAGTGGGGGCCTGTTTTCCAAGCTACTTCCATTCCCTCATATATAATTAGACTAAAGTAGATAATGAAGGTAATACAGCATATATTTATAGTGTTGAGAATGTATTTGTTGAATGTTGCGAAATACAACAAGTAGTCAAATAGATAGTAAGTACATTGTCTAAGTTTAATTGTGAAGATAGCAGCATGCTTGTGCGCCATTGTATTTCTTGATCTCTGTTGATGTAGTTTACTCAAGTGTTCCCCATTTTTACATTACAATTTTTACATTACAATTGAAATCATTGTAGCCTCTGAAAATAAAATGGCCCACAGTGCCATCTGTAGGGGAAATAAAAGCACAGGACAAGCACATCCACTTCTTTCTCTTCGGGATAACACTCCATTTTTAATTTCTTGCACTGTCTAAAAAATTCCATGCGTTGCACCAATTAAATAAATAGAACATAAAATAAATAATTTTGTTATGTTTTGACCCGAAAGATGTCACATGCCACAGCAAACAACATCCATATTTTAGTCACTCACAATTAGGGCTGGACGATATGGCAAAAACCTTCCATCACAATATGGGTCATTTCATATCTGATAACAATATACATGATAACACGTATTCTGGTAATTCAATAAATAAATGAATAGTTATATAAAATAAAACTTGGTTCCTTATGTAATTAAGACAGTTAGTGAAAAACAAAAGGAAAAATGGTCACAAGTGAAATAAAATAAATAATAAAAATATATATTTCCACCTATAGACCCATTATGTAAACATGCATGGCACAAATTCAGAGTAATCAAATAAAGACAATAGCTTGATTTATCTGGAGTCCAGCTTGTTAATCGCATTAAACTGAGTGGTAAAGTGTAATATAAAAACAAATCCTCAATCTTCAAAGGATATCAGCCAAAATATTTCATATCAGATTTTCGGATCATTTTGAGTTAGTATGTGCTTGTTATCAATATAGACTACGGAATTCCGTATCACAATATCTGATACAACACGATATAAAGGATTTCATCACAACATGATTCTATTGAAAGACGATAAATGATTATATTGAATAATCGCCCAGCCCTACTCACATTACAAAAATAATAACTCTAAAAACAAGGCATAGTCATTTCATTCTACTCCAAATGTTAAGTGTTTCTTAAAAATCACAATATTAAATGCATACAAACAGATATAAAACATGGTTGAAACGGTATATGGACAAAATGCAAAGGCAGTTTAAGATTTAGTGTTTCTAAATGCCTGGACATTCCTCCATTGTAAACATTAAGATGATAAATAAACCCAAACAAAGTCATGGAGCCCTTTACCAACTAGTAATGGCAGCTTTACAATATACATAAATGTTTTTTATAATAACCCTGACAGGAATATACCACGGAACATCATCAGGTTCACAAAGCCAGTAGTATGTCACATATCTCCACAGACCACAAAATAAGTTAAACCAATATCAAACGTCTACCCCTGTATATCTTTTGAAATGTTGTTAGTTGAGCACCACAGTCAGACGTTTTTGAAGAAATTCTCCTCTAGGACCTCAGTGAACCTCTCCTTCATCTGCTGACGGAAGCCGGCGTACCACTCCAGCAGCCTCCTCCTGCGGTCCACCCTCTGCTCCTGGCTCATCCCCCGCTCCCTCTCTAAGATGGCAGCTAGTTCTTTCCAGTCACTGATGAAGATGAAGGGGGCTCCTGCAGCTTTGAGCAGTCGCAGAGGAGAGCTGGACCCGGCAGCACAGCTCCCAGGTGTCAGAACATCCTCCACCACGGGCACGGAGCCATAGGAGCAGGCCTCGTAGATGCGGTAGCACTCTGAGTTGATTCCGACTGGGCAGAGTGTGAGCTCGCTCTGGACCAGAGCGGTCTGATACTGTCTCAGACTGTCTGCTGTCTCCTGAGGTAGCCACCTGAGGAAAGGAATATATTTAATAATCAGTAATCTGCAATAATGTTCCAATGAGATGATTCATATAGTATACATATTACCTCAACTATTTGTTGAAAAATGTATGCTACCAATAACATCATGATTCTGCAACAACAATATAACTAAAGCAAAAATAATCTCAACACCACAGGTGTGGGAAAAATCACAGTGCTGGTGTGGGTAAAGTGAGCTAGTTAAAGTATATAATACATTTCCAATGTAAGTGATGGTGGAAAAAATCCTCCTACCTATTTTTATGAAAAGTAGTGCATCTAAAGATCAGTTTAACAATAAAAGGCCTAACCTGGTCAGCTTCTGTGATGTCTAATTTGAACTAATAGAATGTGATATCAATATCTGAAATGTATTATAGTTGAATTTCACCACATAATATCTTGACACTAATTTGAGAGCACTTCATTTTATGTCAATGTGAGAAACCCAATGACTGCTGACTTGAATCTGAATTATTTATTTATGTATGTAATGTAATATTAAAGGTTAGTCCAGAGCAATGACTTACTTCTCCCTGGCATTGGTGATGCATTCCTCTTCCAGACCAGATTTTTTCAGCACCTGCATGAGAGTTTCCCTGGAGGAATTTTTGTAAACAGTTCCCAAGAAATTACAGAGGTATGGCCTGTTAGAGGTAATCAGTTGGGCATTCGGCCTGATCATAGGAAACTGCCTGTACCTGCGAAGAGAAAAGAAAAAAAGTTAGACAACCTTTTTCAATAAAAAGACAACATACAATGTTATGTACTGATATGTAGCCTTGAACATGTAGGACTATTAAGAGATGACCTACGTGGCGACACCCAGAGGCCACTGGAACACATCCTTGTCGTTAACCCAGGGGCTGTCGTACACTACAAACAGCAGGTCCACAAAGCCACCGTTCCTCTTTAAGTAAGGGCCAATGAAGTCGTTGTGGCAGTGCTCATTGCCCAGCAGGACCACGGCCACATGTGACACTGTGCGGGACTTTACCAGAGCTTGGACATGCTCCAGCCACCGCGTGGAATAAGACACCTTCTGCGGCTCGCGGCCATTCAGAACCAGAACCAGGCTGTTCATATCCAGAGGGACATGACCCTGGACCACAGCAGGACCAGTGTAGAAACTAAAGATGGAAAAGCAACAGGGGAAGGAGAACAGGTCAGAATGATGGTGCTGTTTTATTATGTAGTTATTATATGATTATATTTTTTAACAGATGCCAAAAAGTAGACTTTATTGTATGGCATTTTTTAAGCAGTCAATATTTTTCCTGTTACCTGAAATCGATCTTTCCTGACTGCAACTCTCCCTCTCTCCATTGTGCGACCTTGTCAGTAGGGTTGAGGGGTCCCTCTAAAATATGTTCCCAGAGATAAATGCCTAAGGACAAAAGAATGGGACATTGGAATTTGAGTTCAAATGTTAACATGTACAGTGCCATTATGTTGTACCTCTATCAGGCCTCCACAGCAGGGTACATATCAAATGCATGTAGTTTGTATATACAACTACATCTTGTGAACATAGTATTATCAGGTGTATACAGTACACAGTACCTACTAAGGCCAATTGAGCCTAGTAGCCAAGTGGAGGGTACCATTATCAATCCAAAAGATAAATAGATCCCAGTTGTTTTTCTCCAAAATGTTGTTTCAAGTAAGTATTATGAGCTGGAGACTTTTTCTAAACACTTTTGAGATATAGTTGCATATGGTGTTTGTTCCTCTGATATGTGCCTGATAGTTGCCTTTTTCATTCTGGACCTCAGGAAACTACATTTGTTTAGAACTATTTTATTTAGTTTAAAGCACAACCACAAATGAAAATATAATACTATGTTCTTTTCAATACAAACATTGTTGCCTTCGTCATCAAAGGTGTTCCTGCCCTCTGCAATTCCCCTACAACTGTGATGTAATAATAACATTTAGATTTTCAGATATTGAATACATACATTCACTAAATATACCTATGAGTTTAATACATTTCAATGATGTATGCAGAGGTTCTGTATTGCTTGCACTCCATCTTCAGTGAAGAATACAGTTCTGTGCCACTGTATCATTCTATATAATAAAAACATACCTTGATATAAAGCTAAATAAAAAAATCAAATCACCAATCACAAGAATTACACACTTTTTTGTAGATGTGATCTAATTCAAAATAAAGTAAAACTAAATTCATAGTACAAAACGACATTCATAGTGCATCTATCTAGTGATCTACTACACCAACACATATCTTCTCCTCAGGCTGTGATTGATGACATCTGATAATACCACGACCTACCTATGGCAGCTTTGCCCCAGATTTGTACCCTGTATCTTGTGGCTTTGTTCTTGTCAATGCGGGCCAGGTGTTGTTTGAAGGCCTCCCTCTTCTTGGTCAGAGCAGAGTTGTAGTCCACCTGTTCGTCCTCCCACGGATTCCAATCACGCGCTAGAAATGGAGCTCCACCGCCATCTCTGACACCACCTGCAAATACAACAAACAGTTTCCATTTACTGTATGGGCACTCATTTTCTATTTCCAAAATAAAATAGAAACGAGATTCATTGTGAAAAACGCAGGCCGCTTATTTGGAATCGGGGCTAGGTGACGGCTGCGCTAGCTAACGTGAATTTACCCGAGACTGTCTCTTTCTTCACCACCCGGTGAACACGGGAGATTACTTTGGTGCTGAAGAAGACATTGTATGCAGCATACAGTGAAAATGCCACATACGCAAAAATGATTAGTAGAAAAAGTTTTCTTTTTGGTATTTTCATTTTTCTTTTCTTTTTTTATTTGTCTCAGGTTACCATTGTGTAGCTGCTCTCCATATTTTGTGAGAGGACCCTTGTTTACATCACAAGGACCTCTGAGTACAGCTGACTTAGAAAATGCCTGTGCTAAAATAAGCCGTTATTTAATTAATGAACGGTTTCTACTGTTTTAAATTAAACTATTACAAAATGTCAACACAGAATATATCAACTGTAATTGAAATATGAACGAAAACCCATAAAACAATGTCTTAACCCGAGAAAAACGAAAGGCACGCTTCGGTCAGACCATACGTACTGCGGAACCTTGTATAGGCGGAGCGGGTTTCTGGTAAAGCAGATCAGGGAGGTGCACGTAAAGATTTGTACACGCAAGGTCGTGTCCCCCGCGCCGGTTTGGAGGTGTCTTTTTTGGGCAAAGATGATGTCCATAGCTGCCCGTTCCGGGTATATTACCCCGTACATGCAGGCGACAAAACAAACAGTTAAAAGCCTGTTGTCCCCGGGAGTAAAGACCTTGGTGCCTGCTGCCGGTAAGGCCAAGAGAAGGAAGTGTGTGTCTGCTAACAGTGAAAGTGATATTGAGCTGCTTGCTGTAACGCTACCTTAACATACACAATTGTTTTAAATAATTTGTTAATATATTCATGATAGACAACGTGTGAATTATTTGTATCATGTTGTACCGTTTGGGTGTGCAACTAACACTACTACATACAACTTGCAGTGGTTAGCTTGGAATAGCCGGTGTCATAACTGACATATGAAACCTTACCGGGGGTCAACAATAGATAAGAAGTCTGAGGTATATAAATATACACTTGTGATATGTAAACACCTCAAAACACATTACTGTGGTCCAGTTTCTGCATTTACATGTCTGATGTTGTTTTGATTTGTCAAAGTTGGGCTATGTAACCATGGTTCACAAAGTTTTGCCTAACATGCCTGCTAAGGTATAATAATACACGCATCTCTCTATTACTGTTGATTGTACAAAAGAAGAAGCCCAGGTTTGTTTACCTTAAGATAACTCAAATTATTGCTATTATTCATATTGTCTGTTATAACAAGGTTATGTGATCAACAGAAAAAACAGGCATTTGTAGCAGCTATATTGTGAGGTTGTTATCTAATATACATGGGGAAAACATACAAATTTGTATGTAAACTTTTATATTGTTATAAATAGTTTGTCTCTGTTGTTTCTATAATCAATAATGACTAATGTTTATGGATACAATAATTACATCTGTATCAATTTAATCAAAAGTAAGAATTTATCACCATGATAAAAGTTAAGATGGATAATAAAATGTCCCTGTCACATGAATGCACCAGAAATGACTGTGTTTAACACTCTAATCTTTTTAATTATTTGGTAGATACTGAATCAATTTGCCAATATGCTGCTCATATCTTTAAACACTGCATTTTATGTCTCATTTTCAGCTCCAGGAGAGGTCCGCCTCGCCCACACAGATATCAAGATTCCTGACTTCACGGACTACCGCCGCCCCGAGGTTACTGACCCCAACAAGTCCTCCCAGGAGAGCAGTGAGGGAAGAAGGACCTTCTCTTACCTTGTCACCGGAGCGTCCACCATCGTTGGCGTGTATGCCGCCAAGACGGTGGTCAGCCAGTTCGTCTCCTCGATGAGTGCATCAGCAGATGTCCTGGCCTTGTCCCAGATTGAGGTTAAGCTCGGTGACATCCCCGAAGGCAAGAACGTGACCTTCAAGTGGAGAGGAAAGCCCCTGTTTGTCCGTCACCGCACAGAGAAGGAAATCGCCACAGAGGAGGCTGTGAACATCGGAGAGCTGCGTGACCCCCAGCACGACAAGGAGAGAGTGCAGAACCCCAAATGGGTCATCGTCCTCGGGGTGTGCACGCATCTGGGCTGTGTGCCCATCGCCAACGCAGGAGACTACGGAGGCTACTACTGTCCTTGCCATGGCTCCCACTACGATGCTTCAGGAAGAATAAGAAAGGGACCCGCTCCTCTTAACCTGGAAGTTCCCTACTATGAATTCCCTGATGAGGACACAGTGCTGGTGGGATAAATACTAGAGCTCTGTCCGAGTTCCTCTCTGTAATATGTATTTTTTGATGCTTTTAAGAGGTAGGGGTGGAATAATGTGTATTTACTAATAAATAAATATTTCCAAACTCTATGATTGAGTTCTTGCGTATGTTATGTAAAAAGTGAGTTTTTTCTGCATCATTTAGCTTGATCACTTTTTTACATCAGGATCAATTCACTTCAATTCAAACTGCTTTTAGGATTTAATATTTAGCCAATACAATTATTCAACACAAAAAGTGACAAAGTTACAGAAAGCTCTGTGGAAAAAGTCAAGCTCTAAAACAAATATCAGACAAAATAAAATGAATAATAACTTTTTTTGAATTGGCTAGATAAGAGGGTAGCTTTTTATTTTCCTTCATTTTCTCATGTGGTGGTTGGGGCCAGTTTCATAGCTACATAAAGCTGAGTTGTTGTCAGTATTTATACACACATGAACTAAAAGAGACCCGGGTACCCCAAAGAGCAAAATAAGGGGGATAAGATGAAAGGATTATCAAGAAAAACCTGTGGCAATTTCAACAAGTAACAATAAGGTGTAAACAGAAGTGTTTGTACTGAGATCCGAAGGTTGTTTCTTTGCAGGAGTGTTTTGACCAGGGTTATGTTATCTAACTTTAAAGAATGTGTAGATTACTTGTTCTTAGGACCCTGTTTTTCCTTTAAGAGACTTTCTGTCAAACATGATCACATTTTCATACCACTACAAACAGCAGCAAATAATGTAAACTGTCACACAGAAAAAAAAAGCCCTATTGTTTGACACGAGTCACAGATGGTTTTAATCCTGGCCAATAAAGTGTGATGTATAAAACTTTATAAGTCAGTGAAAAAAACACAAACCTTTTGTTTTAATTGATGAAATAATTTAAATACAATATAAGGTACACAGATAATGGTGAACTCCCAGTCATAAAGCCAATAAATGGCCAGCAAATCAAAGAATATTTCACATTATACAGTTGGCACTCATTCATTGCATAATCACCAGTGTTTATATATTGAAATCAGTGTAGCCTAACCATAACCGTCAGTGCCATGTAATGCTTATTAATAAATAGTACCTTAAACTGATGTGTGTCACAGCTTTTCCACAATCATTTGCTAAACCCATAGTGTATCCAGGAGTGTGATGGTGGCTGTACACTTTTAAAATATCATATTTTACATTAAGTAAAGAGTCTCTCAAAACAAAAGTTCACATTATTTTCAAAGGTTCCATCCTTCTGCGTCCCTGACTCCACAGACTCTAATCCACGTAGTGCACCTCCGCCTGGAGCTCCTTAGTGATGTACCCGAGGAGGACGGCTGTAGCCTGCTGCTTCAGGGCGGAGTTCCCCATCACTAGAGTAGTTAACTGAAGCACATCTGTCCACTGAATGTCCCCCAGGGCCACCATGAGACTCTCATAAAGCTTCTGCTGCTGCTGGGGGTTGAGCTCCATGATGATCTGAGGCAGAGGTTTGAATTGTCCACTGGTCAGCCAGCAGCCCAGGAGGCCCCCAACAGCACCGCCTGCATGAGGAAGAGGGATTCAAACTTGTGAAGTACCGTCTGTACATATATTTAAAGTAAGAAGAGCTGTTTCATTTTTTTCCACTCACCGACTGCAATACCAAGGGGACCCCCAACCAGGCCTCCAGCAAAGGCGAGCCCCCCTGCTGCTGCGGCTCCCTTTCCCGAGCCTTTCACTGTGGTCTGGATTTGCTGATGGGCAGATAACTCACAACACAGCTTCATGACATCATTAATTCGATGACACATACTGTGGATCAGAAGAATTTAGTGAAACAACCATATTTTATCATTGTAAAAGACTTAACAATCAGCGAAGAAGAAGAAATCTGGATAAAACTGACTGACCATTTAAAGTTTTTGTAGTTGGCTATTTAACTTAACTTAAAAAACACTGACATACATTAATCCATTTAAAAATAGCATAACATGGTCTTAAATGTATTTAATATTGTTGCCCTCAAGTTAGTTTCTAAGGCAATCCTGTGTACACCAGTGAAGTAGTGGGATAGGTCTGATTGCATCAGAAAGGATCATAAGGCAAAGGTACAGGTTTCACAATGTGACATCTATAGCATTAGGCCTCACGTAGTAATCACAGTCATTTCATCTAAAATCTACATACCTTGCAGTGTTAGGAAATCCTCATCAATATGTTTTGTCAGTCTTATTTGTATAATGTTGTTATGATATCTACTGGTCAGCCGGTGACTCTTGATTTCTGGGCTTGTATGACTGACCGCAATGCCTGATGGGAAGACAATAATGGTGCGTTCAGGGACACTCATACAATCCTGAATTGCTTCCTTTCTGGTTGATAAACAACCAATAGCTGCAAAACCATGAATAATGAGATATTAAGTCATAATAATGACTTACAGGATATTTTTTTCCTCCCAGCTGCACAAATGGACTTCCATAACAATGATCAGAGAATACATTAAATAATATTGTAGCAGCAATAAATTAAATGTATTTGAATGTTGAAGGTGTTTTGTTCCCCCTAATAAACATACTTACCTGGCTTCTATACTGTAGGTGTTTGTTTTCTAGGGTAGGCTACATTAAGAATGAGTAAAAGAGGAATCACTTAAACAATGTATAATAAATATGAATTAAGGTGTTTGGGTTTTGTATTTATTAAGTTAATATCAACTTAAATAATGATACAAATGCACTTTCCAGATATTTCAGATGAATCTAAACTAATTTGTGGGATAATTAATTAGTTCAACAATTAACAAATGAAGACCTGCCTAATCCAAACCTTACAAAACACATTTGTAAATGGTGTACCAGTACCTTTACAAATGAAGGGACCTCTGGCTATCATACCCAATATTATAGGGTAGTTGATCTTTTTTTTCACAGGATTTTTTATTCTTGTTTCGTAGACCATTATTTGCATTTGCTCCCCTTTACAAATCATATTTCCGACAGCAATTGAATGCAACAAGAACAGCCAATGAGCGTCTAACAACAAGGGGGCTGGAACCATAGGTTGATTATATAAAATATCTGAAACCAAACTTGTTTATCAGAACTGACCTGACAAAGCCAACTTTAATATCTAATGATTGCTTTGTTGGCTTATATATGAACATGTTTGTGTTTAAAATATGATGTTGAACTACTATATATGTGCAGCTTCAAGCCTTTTTACATGAAGAGGTAACCCAGTGCTACTTTTGAGACAAAAACATCTCTGACAGTGGTGGTGCTGGTTATTTTGTTACTGTGTGTTTGACTTTGACTGCAGGAGGATCTTGGCTGGCTACGACTGTTTACATTTGTGCAATCATCCATTTTACCCAGAGTACGTTGGGGGACACAGAGGATCAGCTGCGTCAAGATAGCTTAGCTAACTGAATAACGGGAAATGCATTGGTGTCTCTTCAAAATAAAAGCATGGTGGGGGGACTTCACTGGAGTGGACTGGGAAGGGGGAGAATATTGAGATGTTTGTGCTTTACGTGAATGTCTCCATGTTATGCCACTCCATACTTCTTCTCAACTAAGTTTCAGAAATGTACTTTTTTAGCTTTATAATAACAATTTGCACACAACAGGATAAAATCAACTTAGAAATATAGAACATTTGCTATGATAACACTAAACAATAACACATTTTAATGATGGCTTGTTCAGTATTTGATGCCAATATTTGCAAACTTCTACTTAAGTTTTATTTTGTAAGTTTGCTTATTTAATAACAGGGTTAACTCTTTTTATTTTCAGTAATTGATGACAGTACTAACTAAAGTCTTGTTTGCCAACTGCCCTCAGACCCCAAGGGGCTTTATAATCCCAGAGCAAACTGTTTGCCACAGACACAGTGTTATGTGGTCATTTACTCATTTTGTTGGAATATGGATGGAATATTGAAATATTTTTTAACGAAATGTGTTGTGAGATACTAATTCAATAACATTAATGATAAACTTTTTTTTCTTTATGTGTAGCCTCACTGAGAAGCGACGTACCAACGATAGCTTTTATTTTGAAAATCATGAGCGGAAGTTCCCTTGTTATTTATGCTGTGTTGACATCGGACCGAGGTGCACGTCGCAGCGAGAGTGACGAGGAATATTTGCTGTTCTTTTGGATTAACACCGTGGATATTTTTGGAGATCATGCAGAAATCTTGAAATGAGAGTGTGAAATGGTATCACTTCCGAAAGTGAGGATCTTTATCACTGCCCCATTGATGACTACGGCCAGAACGGGTCTCAGGAATCGCTGCGGCTGCATTCATAAACACTTCTTTAGGACTCACAACAACCCCTGAGCTTTGTTTTGGGGTTTCAAATAACACAATTTCCTGTTGTGCACCTGGGTTAACAATGGCGGAAAAAGGTAAAATGAGCAATGAGCATCTCGGAGGAGTTGTCAGGCTCCGAGAGGAACAAGAGAAGGTAATGTAACCAGTTGACATGAAACATTTAGCAAATAACGTTCAACGTTAGCCCAACCATAGTGTGCTCCTGGCCACGCGGTGGTTCAGCAAGGGTCTTTGAACTACCAGTAAATCTACTTTAGTGCATTTTAAAATTAAATACAGACCTTTATGCACTAATTGCACAAACGTTTATGTAGAATTAGTTAGTTGTAAGGTCAATGTCTGCATGTTCGAGAAGCTTCCTCTCTGGCAGCCACACACATGTTCAAGGTCTTGTAATGAAAATGGTGCCTGCAGGAGGGGGTGTGTTTAGTGTCCTTTTCTGTGCCTCTGTGTTTGTACTGCTAGTGGTTAGCATTCACACTTAGTGAAACTGACTTGTATTGTGTTTATGAACTGTTGACAACGGCTAGCTAACGGTTGACTAAGTGATGCACGTGACAGTTTTAAAACAATGGGAGCTTTTTAAGTTTCGATTTGTTAGATACGAATCTGTATAAAGTCAACACTGAGAAAGTCCTGCAAGCAAAACTTTAGAAATGTTTTGTTAACATGAACTGTATGTGTCCCCATATATCACATTGAAGGAATGTTTGTGCAATTCCATTTGAATGCAGTTTTGACAGCTGTGTTTGTCTTCCTCTCCTGCTTCCTGGTTGGGTATTTTTTCCATTTCCCTGTGTGTGATGTTTCTTTAACTTATATAATCACAAGTTGTATGTTTGCAATTTGCATGTTGCAATTATCATATTTGCCATTATACCAGAACATGTTATGGCTATTCAATCCTTGACTTAATACTATGTAAATTCCATAGATTTTGGACAACTTAATTTTCATTAAAGTTATCTGTCTAAAACAGGTGGTGAAAGACTGTGAAAGTCGGATTCAGCACTGGTAAGTTTGAAGATCACATGTACTTTGTCAAAAGTTGCATAGTGATATCTTTCTATACTTTTTTTCTTGTCTTTGTAATACACTGTTAAAAATATTGATGATAAACAAAGTAGCAAAAAGCATATGTTCAATATACAGTTCCTTAGAGAAATAAATAACAAAATATAAACATATCTGTGAAAATAAAACGCATTCAAGAGGATTCTTTTTGAAATGTTCTGCTCAACTCTGTAGCGTTTTAACAAATATATACATATTCATTTGTTTGCCTTGCACTTGCTTATCCCTAAGTGATCCAATTATAATAATATTTCAGCTTCTGCCATCATCCGCCTTTTTTTTTTCAGGGAAGTTTGTATTTAATCGAATCATAATTGTATAGATCCATTTAGAGCTGCCTAATTTTTTTTCTAATAATAGCCTTGAAGTTTTTTTCTTCCCCAAATAATCAAGAATGATTCTTTGCAATATTGATGCTCTGTATTTAGAGTGCTGGCTGTGGTTTAAATCTACAAATTAGACACTCCCTGACCAATCAGTGGCATTTGTTTCAAGCATGCCATAATTAGCCTGTGTATCCTTAATTCCAAGCACACTTGTAGTTGGAAGAAGAAGCATTGTTAGAACACAATCAACCTTTAGGCCCTGCACACTGCACAGTGGTATTTAGTCTGATTGCCTAATCCGGATGTGCCAAAGACAGTTTTCCACATTTGTGGACGAGAACAAGGCTCTGTTGTATTTAAGTGTCCCGGTGATCCTTGACATTGAGCCATATTGCAGAACACCAGGATCTTGAAAGCAGCTAAATGGAATTAAGCCATCATTAACTTTATTATTTCCACTGGTCTGTTTGAATGATTCACTCAAACAGATGCAACAAAGCTCACACAAGAGTGTAGTAGATGTCAACAACAAGTAGAGGAAATACAAAGTGGAAACACCTGTGTGAGTGGACCATAACTCATGTAGGAGCTCTACTATAGTGTAACTATATTACAGTAAAATGTATTTGTATTGATGCAAGCAGTGGTCTGCAGTAGTGTTATTTACTGTAACTCTGCACAGCAGATGAGCAGAAAAGGTCAAAGTTCAAGGCACCATGTAAGGACTGAGTACTATATCTCAATTACTGGCATACTACATGTTACAGTACAGTATGCAACCTTGTAAATGCCACTGCAGTTTTTACTAAAATAAGTATTTGGACCTCAAACACAGTATTCCAATGTGTTGGGCTGATTGTGAGTCTGGGGGCGTGTGCATACTTGACTTCTCTGTGAGTCTCCTGTTTGTGTTGTTGACAGACCAAAATACATGTACCATTCTTATTGGTGCACTGAATGAACAGCCTGGTTCTCCCGATCATTACATCTGAACAAAGGCCGATTAACTGAAAACACTTCAGTCAATGTGCAAGGCCCTCTTTACAAGTAAACTGAATACAGATTTTTTAAGTTTGAAAGAGCAATAAAACATAATGAACTAGTTCTCGCTTGTTTCAATATAAATGTTGTAATTGCACCTGCAGGCATGAAATTGGAGAAAGTAGGGCGCCTCAAAAAAAGGTTTTAATCGTAAAATATTATTTTAAGAGTAACTGTACATAGCTATGTTTTTTTTTACCTGCAGCAAGAAGGTGGTTGTATAGCATAGTATTATCATCATGATTTTCTCTAAAAATAAATAAAATCAATGTATACCAGGGACATCTTGAGGCGACTTTAGTTTCTCTAACGCCCCCCTCTGAAGGGGGAAACAGGCACTTCCTAATTGCTGAATAGCTATTTTTTACTTCCCATTGTTCTTCCAATTGTTTAACCTTCAAAAATAAGTCCAACAAACCAAATTGGATAACAATGGCTCAGAGGACATCTGTGACTTCAAATAAATAAACAAAAACACATTTATTTGAATAGTGGTTTGCCTAACATTGTGAATCTGTGCTTCTG